TGGTATTCTCTCTCCTTATCTCTCTTATCTTTCTTGTTTTATTTTAGTGTAGTTATTTTAGTTGTTTTTATCTTAAAAAAAAAAAAAAAAAACATACAAAAAATACGATCCAATGAATAATAAATCATGCTTCCCTGTGCCCCATTCATGAAAATTGTTTTAATTCTTGGTATATGATGACGAGTATTGTGGATAGGTTATCCATGATTTGATGTTTGATTACTTGGATGTCTTAACATGAGTCAATTTTGCCCAACTACTTGTGAATATAGTGCTTGACTAGTTGATTTGGTTAGGAATGTGTGTTAGTTCCTGGTATGTCAATGAAGTTGAGTATTGGTTTATAACTTTGAGTAATGTTTGCATGACTCATTAATATGCACATTGAGGAGGACGAAGGCATTTGTTCCTCTAGGTGGCTTTCAGACGATATTAGATACATTTGTTCCCTTCTTGCTACCCATGTTGTTGCTTGTGCCCTTTTATTGTTTATTTTGCCACATTACAAGCCTATTTAAGCCCCATTGGTTACTAGTCCCAAGCTTGGCTTGGGGGAGCTAATAGTGAGTGAGGTGAGGGAGTTGTAGTGTGCATGTAATCTGCACAATTTTGGGTGGATTTGAGAAGTTTTTATTTGTTCTTATTGTTGTGGATTGAAAAAATTGAAAATTTATTGTGCAAAGGAAAAATTCCAATGTGAGATGAAAAAAAGGGAAAAGAAAGAGCAAAAGAAAAAATTGTTTCAATGTTCAAGTGTTCTAATTGAAGGCTGCTCAAGAAAAAAAGGAGAGTTCAAAGTTTGTTTGTTCACTCAAGTTCTATAATTTTATATTTTGTATATATGAGTGAAATTTTAAGTGTTGGAAATTTTTAATATAATTGGATGTTTGGTGAATTTTTGGTAGAGTTGAGTTGTGTTGGAGATGATTTGGTCATTAATTCATTTTGACCTTGGTTTTATTTATTAGGATTTTGGCTCCCTTAAGCATAGCTTTACTCTTACATTTTCCCAAATATTTCCTACCTTTTATCCTAGCCTTACATTACAAGCTTTGAAGACCTTCTGACCTTTGTGCATAGAGTTGTGTGAATGTGAAATTAGTTGTTTTCCAATGCAAAGAATGATTTGATATATTTCGAGTCGACTGCTAGGTTGAGTGCTTGTTTTCTTTAAACACACGAGTGCGTGAGTTTGGGAGGGCATTGTTCACATTTAAAGGAGTTGGATGGAGAGCGATCGAGTATATCTTTTACTCGCCACATAAATGAGAGTTGAGTGTGTGAACACTAGTCTTGAATTCTATATGCTCTTGTGGTTTGCTCTATTTGACTATTGTCAGACAGGATGAGTAGTCAGATGGATTTGATTGGTTGACTTTGATGCATAACTGTCGAGTTTACCTTTAATCGTATTTATTGATTTGAATTGCTTTTGGGGTGAAGTATTGATTTATTTATTCATTGCTTTGCTTAGGGACAAGCAAAGGTTTAGCTTGGGGGAATTTGATATACGTGTTTTATACAATGGTTTTCCCCGGTTTTACTTAGTAATTTTATATGGTTTTGAGCTCTACGGAGCCATTTCTTGCTAACAATCTCTTCTTTAGTGTATTCGATTGTTTTAGTAAGCTTTTCAGGAATATGAAGCGTTTCTAGGCAATTGGACGTGTTTTTAGTAGATTCGGAAGAGTTGATAGCCAAGAACTGCAATTTATGTGGAGTGCCCGACCGGGCATGGCTTGCCCGGGCAGACCGGGCAATGAAGAGTTCACAGGAAGAAGCCCAATTCTGAACGGTGCAACGCGCGCCCGATCGGGCAGGCTTCGCCCGGTCAGACCGGGCGATGAAGAAGTCAAGTTATGAAGATGCAATTCTGGAAACGTGTTACGCGCGCCCGACCGGGCGAGGTTCGCCCGGTCTGACCGGGCAAAGAAGGAAAACTGTCGTATTTTACGCAGCCTTCCTCCGCCCGATCGGGCGAGGTTTGCCCGGTCTGACCGGGCGATGTTCAAGATTGCGCGATTTCAGCTATTTCCGAATTTCTATCTTTTGAGGGTATAAATACCCTTTTGTAATTAACTTTTAAAGTGAGTTTTTCATTAGTTTTTCTCCTTAAGCCCTAGAAAACTCTCAAGAACCCTAGTTTTATTTCCTTTAAGCAATTTCAATCTTTTAATCCCAGATTAATCAATTGTTCATCAACAATTTGAGTTCTTTCAATTGGAGTAATTGGTATTTATCTTACTTCACTCTTTTCTGATATTCACTGTTCTCTAAATATGTTTTCTTTACTGTTTCTTGTTTTTGAACTTGATTTTGATTTTATTATGATGTGTGAGTAGTTTCCTTAATCCGGGATCTTGCTAAGCCCGATTATGATTGATGCATGAATTAAAACTTTAAATTCCCCAATAATAATCCCAATTGACATGCTTAATTGATTGTGTTTATGCCAATACTAGATTAGGAATAATTAGTATTGTTATCATCCCTTTGTTCTTATTGCAACGGAAGTTGGGTATTAACGGGATTAGGTTATTCCAATTAAGGGTTTGAAGATCATCACGGAAGTAGATGATTGAATAATTAGGAATCTAGGCATGGTGTTTAATGTCCCTTATTCGCTTGATTCCACGGAAGTAGGCTTGATAGTTAATTTGGGAAGCCATTGATAACTTGGAAGAGACCTTTGGTATTATTATTAGGGATTGCTTTTCTTCTTGTCAATTGATTTATATATTGGGGGTAGATTTATTAGTTTATCAATCATAATCGTGGTAATGCTTGATCTTGGATGCTTTAGTTTATTGATTAATATTTCCTCTAGTTAATTGTGTTATTTAATATATTAGTTGATTATTATCATCCATTATTGATTGGTGACGTGCTTAGTGATTAATTGAGTCTGATTAATTGAATGAACCATAGTCTCTTGGGATTCGATCCTTACTTGCCCTACTACATAGTTAGAAGGAATAGTTAGGTTATTTTTGTTAGGTACGCGATAAGCCTATCAATACACCTAAAAATGTCTCCCCAAAACAAAACCCGATGATGAACAACCTTTCACCGCCATTATTGGTAGGGTTTAGTATTTAATCCCAAGAGTGCTTAAAAAATTGTATTTAATTAAATTAAATTTTTGAATAGTCCATGGATCAGTCTTGATGTTTGGTCAATTTTTTTTTTTTTTTTTTTTTTTTTTTTTTTTTTTTTTTTTATTCCAGCCCAAACCTTTTTTTTTTATTGTTTTTATTATTTAATTTTAGCCCAAACCTTTTTTAATTTTATTGTTTTATTATTTATTTGGCCCAAACTTTTTATTTATTTTATTTTACTTATTTTCTTATTTTAGCCCAAATAATAATAAAAAACAGAAATGGCCCGAAATTATCAATCGACGCTTAAAATGCTGAACAAAATTAGGGTTAAAAATGAATTTAGACAGAAAAGCGGACTGAAAATCCCGCGTCACGGCAACAGTCCACCGCGACACACAAAACTTTCCCGTCTGACAGGGGGGTTTCCCGTGACACGGGACACCTGCTGTGAAACGGGGGACTCCGTGTCCTTGCCGCGTAAACCCTTAACACGTTTTCTCCCCCCGTTCACTAAATATTTCCCGCGTCACACTAAAGTACACCGTGTCATGGGAATGTTTCCCGTCTGACAGTGGGATTTCCCGTGTCACGGTATACTTTGCCGTGTCGCGGTAGACTTTTTTAGACTTTTTATCATTTTAGGGTTCCGTGTGTTCCCTCAGCACATTTTTTCTATAAATAACCCCTAATTTCTGATGTACGTGGCATGAATTAACTCTCTATTTTTCTCTCTCCTATGTTCTAGCATAAACACTAGCCTACCCTTCTTTTTTCAAAATTCCTTCTTCAAGCATTCTTAGGAGTCCACACTTTACTCGTGGTTCCGTCCTTAAGCCAAGGCGTGAAAGGTAGAACTGTTTGAGGGTTTGGCCCCAAATCAACTCTACTTTATTTAATTTAATTTAATTATTGTTTTATTATTATTTCCTTGAATTTACTAACTCGTTTATTATTTTGTAGTTGCAAGCAAACAAAATCAAAGTAAGAATTATGTTCCTTTTATTTCTATTATTTTTCTGACGATTTTATATTGTTGGAATTATGGTTAAATTGCTTCCAATATTAATGAGAATTCTATTATTATTTTTTATTGATCATCATATTGCATGTTTAAAGGAAATATCTAATTGAAAATGACGTCTAATAAGATAATTTGGACAACCGGTTTAGGTTCCTTTTTAATCTTGTTGTTTAATCAAGTGATCACTAATTCTTTATAATTATGTGGTGCATTAATATTCAACCAATTTAGTTTATTAATATTTTGGAGCAAATTGAATCTCTGTTTGTATGCCTTTAAGATCGCAAGAATCACTTTTCACTATAAGAATCGAGTAGAGGCCAATACGGGCGAATGTGACACCATGACTCACTTCGTACCATCATCCCCGATCCTCCTTTCGTGGTTCCGAACCATATATAGTTAGTAATCTCATGGATTATGAATGGGGTGTAACCTTTACGGATTCGTTGTCCCTTATTCGTGGTTGCCGTTTATGAACCGTGAACGGTTTACAAGTTCCTTAAAAACTTGTTGGCGGCTCCCTACTTTCCGTGTCCCTAATCGTATTATGTCAATTCCCACTTCCTATGAGTGCCAAGCATATTCACCACATGCTTTAACATAGGCGCACTTTGAGCTATGGCTACACCGACATGGTACTGTGATGAAGAAGAGAAGAGGATGGGTAGAAGAGAAAAGAAGATAAGGCGGAACAAGGAGTTAGGGTGCAGCGGAATTTACCCTAAGAACCTGATACCATGAAGGAATTTAATCCGTGAGCATTGCTTTGCATTCATTGTCAATATATACAATATCCAAGGGCTTAAGTTAAGCCACTAATTAATGCTATAAAGTGGGGAAAAGCTATATACGAAATATTCTAAGCACTAATCTAGGAAACAATATATTTACAAGGTCAAAGATATATATGATAAATATATATCTTTAGAGTGTGTAGTGTTGTTACCTGGGTTTGGTCCATCATCAATTCATCGTAAGCAGATCTTCATACCCCTAACGTAAAATTTTTAAGTTTAACATTGAAGCAAAATGTGCATAAGCAAACAACTGATTTGAAATAAAACAAAAAACTCTGAAAGTTATTCCATCAAATAATCTAAAATCTACTAGATTATTTCTAAAGTAATTATTAGAATGTAATGCACTAATGCTTAAATTCGACAAAGAAAAAAAAAATTAAATTAAACGAAGCAAAAAAATCACAATTAATAACTCGTATAAATAACACCTTCAGATTAATGACGTGGAACAAAACGGCAAACACGTCATGGTCGTCATCTCAGTATTCAATTTCAACAGTAACCAAGTTTTCTGCAGGCTCATCAAACCGCGCCTTTTAGCTTCATTCATAATTTTTACATAAGTAGTATAGATACACTACTACACTAGTAGAGTATAGTATAGATTATTGTTAACTGTCTACTAATCAACGCCCTTAAATATACACGTTTCAAGCATGCTATGTCCCAAGTGTCATCTTACAACTCAACTTATTCCTTAAAATTTTCATGTCATCATATACATTTCTTTTTATTACTCGTACTATTTTCCCTAAAAAAAAAAAAAAAGAAAAATCACAATATCATAATGACGAACTTCCACCGCTTTCATGATTCATGGGCGGAAAAACTCAACAAATTCACAGCCGAGCTCGCTAGCACCCCAACACCACGCCTCAACTCTACCTCAGACCATCAACACGTTCGACAACTCGTCGACGAGGTTGTCGCTCATTACGTCTTCTACTACCAAACTAAGATCGATGAGGCACGTACCGATGCCCTCCCTTTATTTGCTGCTCCATGGGCAACCACCCTGGAGCGGTCCCTTTATTGGGTGGCGGGTTTTCGTCCCACCACCCTTTTCCACCTTGTTTATACTGAGTCTAGTATTAGGTTTGAGTCCCACGTAGCGGACATCCTACAGGGTCGCCGCACTGGGGACTTAGGAGAGCTCACTCCGGCCCAACTGGCCCGGGTCAGTGAGCTCCAATGTTTGACCGTCAAAGAAGAGAATGAGATTGGGAATGATCTAGGTGAGTGGCAGGAGGAGGTGGCCCGGTCCGAGCCCGAATGGTCTGGGCTTTGCGGAAATGGGCCTGACGGGCTGAACTGTTTGGTGGCTAGGCTTGGTTCCGTGGTGGCTAGAGCGGATGAATTGAGGATGAAGACGTTACGGCAGGTGGTAGAGCTTTTGTCCCCGCAGCAAGTGGCCGAGTTTTTGATCGCGGCCGCTGAGCTGCAGTTGGGGATTAGGCGGTGGGGTGTGCATCAGGATCGGGTTCGTACCGAAGAGAGGTGATACATCGAGTTGTGATGTTTGCATGCATGTTTTCTTTTTGATCAATTTACCGTAAGATCCTAAAACTAGCTATTAAATTTCAATTTATGTGGTAATTTGATTTAGCCAGGAAATTTAAGTGAAGTTTTCTGAAAATTGTGGGGGTTGATTGCATGCTTTGTTAGTGACTAGTACACAATAGTCCTGTAAGCTGGCAATTATTTTGTGTTTTTGTTTTTCCAATTCTAATGAATTGATGATGTACTATTATTTGAATTTCGAAGTTTGATAATATTTTATTTTTTGGTGTTTAAAGAGCCACGAGAGCGGGGTGAGAATCGATCTCATGATCTCCTGAAATTGGGAGGGAAGCTCTAACTACTTGAGCTATCCCTCACTCTCTCGAAGTTTGATAATATTGAATTAGTGTAATTATTGGCTTATATAATTTCCGTTGCAATTAAATTTAATAAATTGTGAGAGTGAGTGATAGATAAAGTATTCCCGTCTAGGCTTGGAGATCGATTTTCACCCCGCATTTGTAACTCTCTAAACCAAAAAAATAAAAAATAAGTGTAGTAGGTACCATGACGCTGTGGACAAAACATTTATTAACATTCTTAACAATATAATAGACACAGCTGCAAGCCTGCAAGCTCAAGAGTACCTAAATGTTCAAGTTATGTCGATACTCGATTCGCAGCTAATTTCCACAAATTCTCCGATTCTTCCCATACTCAAGACTAACAATTAATTAAGGAGTCCTGGACACATGGAGTAAATGCGTATCACTGTGGATCATAAAACAGATGTGTATAACCTGCATACTAATTTCATTTTATTTGGTTGGTTATATTCATATCTGGCTACTATGTTATACGTAGTAGAATTTAATAAAGGCTCAAAAGCTTGCCCTTCATAATTATATGAAGTACAAGATATTTTCAAAAGATATAATCAAATCAAAAGATATACTTAGGGGTGTTCATAAATTGGTCCACCGGACCACTTTGGACCGACCCTGGATCAGATCGAACCAGACCGAAGTCTTTGGGTCTAGAAATTTGTTTTTCCGGTCACCGGTTCGATCCGGTCCAAAATCCTATAAAAACCGGTCTTGGATCGAACCGATTTTTGATTAAAAAATATGCGTAAAACTTTAAATTATTAGTTAAGACTATTCTTAATAAGCTTAGAAATCTTTAATTTTATGAGCTTTTTTGTACTAAACACACAAAAAAAAAGATGTTAAAAATATAGTTTTACCTTTACTTTTTTCGAGTTTTCTATAAACTTATTAAAAATTTAGATTTTTTAAAAAAAAAATTTAAATAGGTCCAAAGGGATCTGGTCCGGGTTCTAGATCAATTCTTTTGGTCTGGTCCGGGTTCGGTCCTAGCTTAATCGATCCGGTCTTCGGTTTTAAGGATTCTAATTTTTGGCCTGTCTGGTCCAGTCTTGGACCGATGAACAACCCTATACATGATAATATCAAATACACAATCAATCCTAAAATTAAGAAAACAATATCTCCCCAAAAATATCTCTAATTATCCTTACACAACCCCTCAAGTTGGAGCATATGGAGTGAAGATGCCCAACTTGTGATGTAAATTATCAAACTGATTTTGCCGAGAGCCTTAGTGAACACATTGGCTAGTTGTGCATGCGTAGGAACATAAAGGGATCAATCAAACCATCCTTAATTTTTAGTATCACGAATGAAATGACAATCAACTTCGCTGTCTTTTGTTCGTTCATGGAAAACCGGATTCTTTATTAATATGAAGAGCCGATTGACTATCACATAATAATTTAATTGTCTTTGGATGATGCACACCTAAACTTAGTAAGAAACCTTTCAACCATTTCTATTCACAAGTTATAGCAGCCATAGAGCGATTTTCTGCTTTTGCCGAAGAACGAGAAACAATATATTATTTCTCGGTTTTTCATGAAATAGGGGAATGACCAAGAAAAACTAACCATCTCGACAAAGATCTACGGGTTATGGGACATGCGACCAAATCAGAATCACACCAACCCTGCAGGGTTAAATCACTATCAGAACGTAATAATATTCCCCGGCCGAGTGCTTTTCAAATATCCCAAAACCCTTAAGGCTGCTTCCCAGTGCTCGGTTCTTGGTTCTTGCACAATTAAACTGAGATAAGACATGAAACGAGTAAGCCAAAACTTTTCGTGTACGTGATTTCCAGATAAATCAACCTACCCACAAGTCTTCGATAGGTTTGAGGATGAGAATTGAAAGTACTCACCACTAGCTAAGCCATGCAATCTTGTGGTTTTGTTCAATTAGGAAGCCAACGGGTTTAGAACCTGTAGACACCAAAATGTGTCTCCCCAAAACCAAACCCAGTATGAATACCTTTCACGTCAATTGATTATCGAACATAGCGAAAGTGTGAAAATTCTAGTGATGAGGATGTTTTTATTAAAATATCTTTTCTTTCTGTTTTTGAAAATATTTCTTTTCTTACCCTATTTATGAAAAACGTGCATTCCAGTTTAGTTTGGTCTATGATAAGTGTCCAATAATAGTGTAGTTGGATAGGGCACGAAAAGATCTTTCCAACGATATATTATAAGCTCAATTCCGATAAATAATGAGGAAATTATGGTCAAAATACTAAACTGGGCCCGGTTTGGTTCTTACATACGGCCCAATGATCTAGAGGAGGGCCTATTATTAGTTATCATTCATAAATCTATTAGGATTTATTATAATCTTCTAGAATACTCTAGAAGGTTATTTTGAATCCTAATGGAGTTAGGATTGATAATTATGTTTCAAAGAGTTTGAAATTGAATAAAACTACTCCTTTTAAGAATCCTTGTTTTGAACGAGATGAAATATGTTATGATATTATTTTCGTGCCTCATAATATTTATCCAAATTTTATATGGTTGGATAGATCTTGAAATTTCTTTCCAATGATATATTATAATATTAATTCTGAGCTATAAACGAAAAATATATGAATAGAATACGAAACTCTATCCAAAACTGACACCCTTCTACTATTTCGGCCATATCTTTTTATCTACAAAATATTTTATTATGATTCTAATAGGGTTGGAAACTATACTTCAAGATCTTTCCAACGACATATTATATGCTTTATTTGAACTTCTAGATCAAAAGATATGATAAAAACAAAATCTGCAAAAACTGTCTTGCAGCGCCGGACAACAAGCCTGTCGCGCGGCGACAGCGTCGCGTTTTATTCCTCTTCGAACTCTGATTCTTTTTTTATCAAATCCGGACTGATTTTCATTATAAATAGCGTCCTTAGACCTCCGTTTTTAATCATCAATAATTCTCATCACCAACTCTCATCAAGAAAATCTTGATACTCTCTCTCTCTCTCTTATTCTAAACCACCCTTTTACAAACAAAATTCCGCATTCACAAGATCTAGACATACCTTGCATAATTCGAAGTTGCCTTCGCCTTAGATGTGAAAGGTTTGATATTTCTGAGGGCTTGGTCCCAAATCTCTCTTTCAATTATTTAGTTTAATTGTTGGTTTTATTATTTTCGTTGAATTCACTAACGTGTGTATTTTGTTATTAAAAAGAGGTACGAGGCATCCAAGTAAGTACTTTAATTATTTTATTGATATTTTGATATAGAAATCATGTTTAGGTTGTTATTTTGATTCCTAGTATCATGTTAGGATGTTTTTCCTATTATCATGTTAGGATGCTTTTCTTAGTATGATGTTTAGGGTGATAACAATAAGTTCCTAATATCAATTATGATTTGTATGATGCCTTTTATTATCTTTCCTAATATTCATGTTAGTATCATGTTAGGGCTAAAGCTTTGATTTTTATTTGTTTAGTGACATGATAGGGTTTGTTATTAATTGTGTTTAGTATCATGCCTAGGATCTTGCTATTAATATTATGCTTTAACATGATGATGATGATTATTGAATATAATTATTATTATGATTATTTTTATGGTATTATTATTATTATCATGTTGCTTTATATCATTTATTGTTATTTCTTGATCACATCTTTTATGCATGTTTAAAGGGAATTTGTAACTGTAATCACGCTGAACAAGGTAATTAATAATCTTGTTAGGGCTAATATGATTATAATTCAAGTGATCGCCAACAATAGTTTTGTTTGTGCATTAATATTCAACCAACATAGATTAAACAGGTTTAGTGTTAATCCTATTGATTGCATGTTAGTCAGAAAGCGCACATGAATACGAGAAGAATAAAGTGGAGGCTTATTAATAGGGAAGGTTCAATCTCTTTTAGGTTGGATTTGTACCTTCATCCTCGAACTTCTAGTCTTGGTTTCAGACCTATTGGAGTTAATGATCTCTTGGATCGTTAAGGGGTGTAACCTTCACCCTATGAACGGTTTACAAGTTCCTAAAACTTATTGGCGACTCTTTTTCTCTAGCTTGCTTCCCTTTGGACGGCACCATACTTAAGTGTATGATCACAGTAGGGTTCAAGTTTGGGTAATGCTTGAAATATTCCCTACACAACCCAACAAACCAACTTCAGAGATGATATCAAGGATATACTTCCTTTGGAAAAGAAACAAATCTTAAGAGCTACGTGTGAAGAACTTGCCCAAAAAATATTTCAAGGGGCAAAGATCTTTCTTATCAAAATAATCACTGAGATAAGCTTTGAAAATCCTTAAAGGAGCGGAATCATTCCTAGAAATAATGAGATCATCAACATATACAAAAACATTTATTTGAATTTTTCCACTATTGTATGTAATAACGAGTAATCTGAATAAGATTGCAAGGCACCGTATGCTTTCAAGGCTGATGTAAGTTTAGCAAACCAACATCGTGGTGCCTGTTTGAGGTCATATACAGATTTACTAAGACAACATACCTTATTAGGATTGAAAGACTAAAAAGCAGAAGGAAGTTTATGTACGTACACCTCCTCATCAAGATCTCCATGGAGAAAAACATTATGAACATCAATCTGATGTAACTCCCAATTTTTAGAAGCTGTAATTGCAAGAAAAGCCCGAATAGTAACCATTTTAGCCATGGGTGCAAATGTTTATGTGTAGTCAATGCCTTCTTTTTTATGATTGCCAAAGATTACTAATCTGGATTTTAGACGTTCAATACTCTCATTAGAGTAATATTTGATCTGATACACCTATTGAATACTAATATCTCGTATTTTGGGAGGAAGATCCTCCATTGTCTACTTGCCATTATCTTCTAATGCTTGAATTTCCTTTTTCATGGATTCTCACCAGCCCTCATCTTTCATGGCCTCCTTAAAAGATTGCGGTTCTTTACCAGATGTTAGAGCTGTGATAAATTATTTTCGATAAAGGAAACAAAAATTGTCAATACTTATGTAATATGCTATATGATAAGTTGTACCTAAGGAATGCTTCGGAGACGATGTGTTAGGAGATGACGAAGATGGACTATTTTTAAGAATTGTGTCAGTTACATAATTTTGAAGCTTAACTGACTTCTGATGAGTGTCATTTATGACACTCATAGGGTAGTCTTTTAGGATGATTCCATCCCTTTTTCATGCTTTCTTCTCTTATTTTTGGTCCTTTTCCCTTTAGTTCCTCTTTTTCCTTCTTTTTGTGTGTTTTTCAT